CATATAGAAATCCTTCAGGAATGATATTCAGAGATGTTGATTAGAGTTTCATACTTTCCATAATAGGTTTACCTTAGGTTTTACCTTATTACTAAAATAAGTATATAATCACTTCCTCTGAGGTTATATGATCCTTGTTTAATGGAGTAATCAAAGCAAACACTCTTGGAGTGCTAGGCTGGAATGTTTGTAAACCAGATAATGAGCAGGCTTCTCAGCAAGGGTCTGTATGAGGAATGGGTGGATTCAAGCCATAGCTCCCAAGGTGCCTGCTTCTTGGCAATGACAGGGATATGTGGGTAACATTCCCCTGCCAGCATATTAAATAAGCCGCAAGACACATAGCGAATGGATGTAATTTGCAAATGTGTATGGAGAATGGGTCCTGACAGTTTTATTTACAAAGGCAAGCAGCTATTTGCTGAGTACAGATATGACATGCTATTCATCTTGCTGCTGCTATGCCAAAAGGATTGTGCCTATGATAACAAACTGTTAGATTTGATTGTTAGAATACTTATGCAATGTTAGTAATAAAGGGTGTTTAACATCATATCTCATTTGTTCTTGGGCAATCGTATGGTATTTCTTATAACATTTTTCCTGGGGCACTGCAAGGGACAAGCCTAATTAAAGAACTGATATCTGTCTGGCTCAGCTTTAATGGCCCTGTATACGCGGGGAAAAGGAGCAGCCACGTCTTTATTTCCCTGCTTGCATGGGTTGAGGCAATGTGTCAAGTGATGTAGTCATGTCCTCACACCTTCTGGCTCCTCCATTTTGGCTGGGGTTACCTCCACACACCTCTCGAAACTGAAGAGTAAACACAGCTGTAACAGCATTGTAGGTAATGCCCAAGGTGAGTGCAGAGAAAATTGAGAATAGAATGAATGCCTTGTGCTGGATCCTAAACATAGCTATGTTCAAGTTGATGGGGAGAATGCAGCGGCTGAGACAAGACAACAGTGTGTTGTCCTGTGTAGTGCTGGGCTTCACAGAGCTGGGAAGGGCTTTTGGCCTTGCTTATTGCTTGGCACAGTGGCTGTTGAGCACCAAGAGAATGGGTAAATGTGACTCATATCTCTTCTTTACCATTTCTTCCATTTCAAATAAGGCCCCAGTAGCATGGTGATCATGGAACGTAAAATTTTTCTACAGTTTATTAAAGGAAAAAACTTCCCCACTGCTCAAATACAGGACTACAGGGTCTTATGCCACCTTGTTAGTGTGAGCAGTTGTGTGTTTTGGGGATCAGACGTAGGGAATTCAGTCTTGTTTTATGAAACACTGGTCAGTGGGATTTAAAATCATAGAATCATTTGAGTTGGAAGGGACCTTTAAAGGCCGTCTAGTCCAACTCTCCTGCAGTGAACAGGGACATCTGCAGCTACATCAGGTTGCTCAGAGCCTGGTTCAATCTGATCTTGAATGTCTCCAGGGACAGGGTATCCACACTTGTCTGTGCAACCCATTCCAGTGCCTCAATACCCTTATTGTAAAAATAACTTTTTCCTTATTACCAATTTGGATCTCTTCTCATTTTAGTTTGAAACCGCTTCTCTTTGTCCTATCACAATGGACCCTGCTAAGGATTCTGTCCCCCTCCTTCTTACAGTCTCCTGCTAGCAAAAGAAAGGCTGGTATCAGGTCTCCAGAGTCTTCTCTTCTCCAGGCTGAACAGCCCCAGCTCTCTCAGCCCTGTCCTCATAGGAGAGGTGTTCCATCCCTTGGATCATTTTTGAGACTCTCCTCTGAATGTGCTCCAACAAGTTCATGCCCCTCCTGTACTGAGGATTCTGCATCTGGATCTTGTACTCCAAGTAAGGAGTCATCAGCGCAGAGTAGAGGGGCAGGATCACCTCCATCATTCTGCTGGCCACGCTTGTTTGGATGCAGCCCAAGACACGGTTGTTGAATGTGCATGTACAGCTCAGTGATGTGCAAGCTGCGATTTTCTCAGCCACCCAGACTCCACCTCAGCAGGTGTAGCTGAGGGAACTGCATGGGCAGAGGAGGTGGACCAGGCTGGGATCATACAGCGTGTACATGCTTCACTCATGGATTTAACCCAGGACAAGTACACTGAAAAACATGTTGGTGCAGCTGCTGTAGGATGCTTCTGATTTCAGATCGCCCCTCCTTGTCTGTGGTCTGAAGGAATACAGAGTGAATGCATCCTACAGGCACAAGGGGCAGAGAGGAGAGCTGCGTTGTGCAGTACTTAAACTGCCAGGGCTAATTGCAGCAGTAATCCAGGCAGCAATCTGCATGTTCAAATGTATTTTGATCATTATGCTTGTGTTAACACAAGCAGACCAGATCCAAAATCCAAACATCCCGCAGTCAGACCCAGAGAACTAACCAGAGGGAAATGAGCTCATTTAACCCTGGCTGCCCTTACAGCAGGTGACTGCTTCCTCCCTCTGCTCGCTGCTTTGCAGACAGCATATGTAAGCCAAAGTGCAACCAAAATTCCTTTTGAACACAAGCAGGCTGAAGGTTCAGAAACAGCAGTGAAATGCAGACTTGCTGTTGATGGCAGGTTGAAGGAACACGAATAAAAGCAACCCATTGTTTGGGTGGACAGAGCTTGTCTGCACTATGGGTTGCGCTGTTACAACATGACCTTGAGAACCTGTGTTAATTAACACAATTTTATTTTAAGCAGTGTCAGCTGTTTCCAAGTAAACCTGCTGATCAGACTGACAAATGCTTTATTCTTGGTCTTATAAGAATTTGGGCCTAGGTAGACAGTTATAATCAGTAGCTGGATTTTTAAAACCCTGTATCTCAAAACCTTTTGTAAGTTATGAAGCGTTTTAATGGACCAACAAGATGAATTCATTTTGTAATCATCTGTTCTTACGTATGTGCGAAGAAATAAGTCTGGAACTGGATAATTTTCTGTCCACCTCCAAAGATTCCCAACTTAGTTCCAGACAACTCAGTCTCTTATGCATGTTTTATTTTAGCCTTACGGAATTAGATGAGTTTAATCAGGTACATGCACACTCATAGAATTAGTCTTTGCCTCAGATACCACTTGTACATAGAGGCTATGGCATCCTGAAATACAAATCTCTGTGTGCAAGGATAATCATTTATGGTGCCCTCAAATGTCATCCTGGGTTCAGAGTGCTGGTTTCATTAAAATGACTTGGAACGTGATGATGTCCCTGGGTGCTCATGATTAACTTGAGTCTACGGCTTGCCTTGCAGGTGGGGAACTTCAGGCAGTGCTTTTATGGGATGATCATCTGTCTGAGACAGAGGCTGTTACCAATCTTGATGGTGAGAATGAATATTTTAATAGCTATATTAAAATTAAAGGGTGAGATATTAATTGTATTATTCCATACTTCTTCCCAGAGGCAGCAGCTGCAGTGTGGCATAATTTAATAAGGCTATCCATCATGTGATGAATTGGTGTGAAAACGTTACTGGTCAGTACTGTAAGAAAGAGCTCTGTAGCTTTTGTTTCATCAGGAAGGGTGCACACAACAGAAGTGCTGTTTGACAAATGTTTGTGTGTTGTCCTGAAAATAAAGTACTGGTAGGCTTCTTTTTTTGACCAGGAATTGCATGTCAAAGTGGCTGGTCGGTGCTAAACAACCTGAACAGCTTAGAATCAAAAACCTTGTGCTCCATGATCTTTGCACTGAGCTGAAGCAGAGGCCACTGTGCTCTGGGCCTCTGCACTCATCAAGAGCTTCCAGGTGAAAACGTGGAACTGCTGGGGCTCTAGGGGGTTACTAATGAACACTGGGGAAAGCAGGTTTTAAGGAAGGCTGCCAAAGGGTCCCCTGAGTCCTAACAACTTGGTATAGTTCCAGTTTGTCAGCAGTTCACTGAAAGGTCACTTTGTAGGTGGTCCTGTGTAGGTTGAACCACTTCAGTCCAACTGACTGAAGTCTAAGTGCTCTTTGGAGAAGACTTCATGCAAGAGTTCCTATGCCCCTTCTAAGTGAGACACAGGAAGATCCTTCCCTTTCAACTATTTTAACTGATGAGAAGGGACAGCCTGTGTTGTCCTGAGAACTCAAACTGATGACCTGAAATCAGGAGATGAAATGTTGGAGTGGCGTTACAGAACAAGAAATGGATAGGTGTGAAAGGTTTGCTTTCACAAGGTGCTTAGAATTCAGTCAGCAACTAGACATGTGCATCAACGTGCAAATCACAGAACCATGGAACATCCCAACTTGGAAGGGCCCCCAAGGATCATTGATTACAAATCCTGCCTCCACGTAAGATCACAGTAATACAAATTCTATGTTTGAAAGTGTTGTCCAAACTTACCTCGAGCTCCAGCAGCTTGTGGCCAGGACCACTGCCCTGGGCAGCCTGTTCCACACCGACCACCCTCTGGTGAAAAACCTTTTCCTGATATCCAACCTGCCCCTCCCCTGACACAGCTCCGTGCCTTTCCTTTGGGCCCTATCACTGTCACAGAAAGCAGAACTCAGCGCTGCCTCTCTGCTCCCCTTAAGGAGCTGCAGCCACCATGAGGCCTCCCCTCAGCTCCTCTGCTCTGGGCTGAGGGATCTCAGCTGCTCCTCACACATACTGCCTTTCAGGTCCTTCCCCATCTTTGCAGTCCTCCTTTGGATGCTTTCCTTGTCCTTATCTCTTCAGCCCAAACTTGCACTCAGTGCTCAAAGTGAGGCCACAGCACAGAGCAGGATAATGCCTTCCTGGTGACTGTCATTGTTTGAAAGAAAAGTCAGGCACACAGACAACGGAATAAAGGTGCATCTGAAATCATATTTGAAGTTCTTGATAGCTACCAGGAACAGAATACTAAGAAAACAATCTTTATGGCTTCTTTTATCCTTTGCAATTATTAAAAAAAAAGAAAAAGAAAAGAAAGAAAGAGAGAAAGAGTGAGAGAGACAGAAGGGAAAAACCCCACAAGTTAATTTAAGAGAGCAGTCGCCAGTCAGCTCCCCAGGCATAAACAGGCAGCCGAGGCGCTGTGCGTGGGCTGACTTCAACGCTGGATGCCGAGCAGCGCTTGGCACAGGTGAGCGGGGCTTTCATCGCAGACCCAAATTAACATCGCTAATGCCGTGCCGTCCGCGGCCGAAGGAGCAGCCCCGGGCGGGGCTCAGGGCTCGGCGCCCGGCCCGCCGCCCCCACGGCCAGCCACGCCCCGACCGAACAAAGGCGGCGGTGGCGGCGGGGCTGCTCCACGCAGCGCGACCACTGCGAGGGCGAGCCGGCACCGACCCGGGCCCGGCCGCGTTGGGAGGGCCCCGCACCCCGGCCCCCACGCTCGGCTCGGCCCGGCCCGGCCCGGCCCCGCTCGGCGGCGTGTCGGGAGGAAACGCCGGCTCCGCGGCCGCCGGCCCCTCGGCTCGCCCGCCCCCCGTCTCCTCCCCTTCACGGCCGATCCTCCGCCCCCTCCTCCTCCCGCTGGCGGCGGCGGCGGCGGCTTTCTCGGCCCGGCTCTCCGCTCTTCCCCGCGGCTTCGCCTCGCTCTTCAGCGGGAGGCTCCGCGCCGCGCCGGCGAAGACGGTAAGGGCGGTGGGGCGCGGCGCCGGGCCGAGCCGCGATTCGGGGTTCGGCGGGCGCGGTGGGGCCCTGGACTGAACGCCGCGCCGCCGCTCTGCAACCGCTCCCCCTCTCGCTGCGGACCCCCCGCGGCGGAGGGCGGGCGGGGAGCGGGCGGGGGGTTCGTCCCACCGGGCGTTGTGGTGCGTTGTGAGCCGCCCTGCTCGGTGGGGAGGGGGCGGACGGACCCGTCGGGTGGGAGCCTAGGGGAAGCGGAGCCAGTTTTGTGCCCGCTCCCTCGGGATCCGGCGGCGGAGCGGGCGAAGCGGTTTGAAATTCCTCGCTAATATCAAGGGACAACATATGGCTCGGGAGAAGGCAGCTGGGAGGACTGGCCGGTTAGCTGCTCCGAGTTAGTTTTCCCGGGTCGGTGCAGAGCGTGAACTTCCTCCCCTGGACTCCCCTGCGCGGGGATGGGGCCGAGCACATGGTGTTGCTCTGCCTTTGACACCGCGCTGCCCGAGCGGGACTGAGCTGAGCTGCGAGGAAGGCTTGTCCGGAGGTAACTGGCTTGTACGGCCCGTACTCCTCCTGCGCTTACCCAGTGGTACATCTTTCCCAGGGCAAGGAGCGAAGCTGTTTCCTATGGTCCGACACGTATGACAACGTATATAATAGACTAGGTTAAAACTTTCAAAAATCTTGCGTGGGCACATCTACGTCTTCCGTGCCATCGCGGTGTTAATTCACTTAGACCCGAGTTGGGGGGATTTGCATGCTGATCCGTGCTTGTGTTTCGAATCTACAGTTATTGTGTTCAGATACTTACGGGTGGAACATCCTTTATGCTTAAAATGACAATGCTATTGTGTTTTTAAGCAGGAGGATGACTTTTATCTGTAGCGTGGAACTTTTATCTTTAGTGTAGACCTCTTATCATATGGCTGTAGTGCTCTGTTTTTTAAATCTACTGATTTGCTGAGTGGCTCTGCAGAGGTCACTTTGCAATTTGACTTCACTCCCCTGTGAAATGTGTCTCTTGATTAAATATGGTACTGGGTTAGAGCTAGTGCTTTCATTTCACATCCATATTTATGTACCATAGGAGCCATGCTTTATAGGGCAGCTTGTTGTTGGCTCTGCCCATAGAGCCTGCTGGTTCTTTGGTGCATGGCATGCTGTGGGCGTACAGTGTGCCTTGTGTCTCACGTTGTGTCCTACTTATTTAAAAAAGTTTGGAGCTCTGAAAAGGTCAGTGTAATCCATACCACCCCAGCACACAACTGGCTTAGAATTAACAAAACCCTTCTGAGTACTTCTGGAGCAAAAAAATGGCACCCTATTCACTGGGGTGGGATGAAGAGATTACCGTTTTTGAAAACTGTGCTTCTCTGTTGTGAGAGTGGGCAAGTGCTTTGCTTTTGCAAAGCTTCAGTGTGAGCTGGTGAGACCATTTCTGGTGATGGAGGCTGAGAGAGATGAAGGATCACTGGTAGTCTCTGTGGGGATGATGGCAGTTGTTTGCCGTGGTGTGCTTTGGTCAGAGCTGTATGCTGGCTCTGACAGGCATCCCATTATAGAGGATCGTAATCATTTGATATTTCATGATGCAGTATTGAATCTGTGGGTACAACCTCTGTGGGCAGGAAGTAACAAGCAGGTGTCTGTGCTCTCTTCACAGCTCTGTAGTGTAAGTATACCCGGAATATACTTTTTGGGTGATTTATTGCCTTGATGGAGCTGATAGCCCTGAGCTGCCCTTGTGCCAGGACATTTCTGCAGATAATGAGAGAAATCGTGTCATGAGTCAAAGCTAAGAGGGGAATGGTGTTTCCCAGGCACATACAGAACTCATCTGCTGTCACTTTGCTGGAGTGGCTCTTACCATATCCTGCTGCAGCTCATCTGAGCACTCTCTCCCTGCACCTTGGGGCTGATGGCATTTCAGGTAGTTCCTGGAGGGGCTCTGTACAGGTGTGGTTTTACAGTGGGCGTGATGTTGCTTTCTACTTTACTTTATAGTTTACATTATACTCCAAAACCAGGAGGAGTGAATTTCATTTAATGAGGCAAAAGTGCATGAAGTTATGAAACATGGCTCTATAATTATGTTTTGGTTGCTCAGAGCTACAGAACCTATTTGAGATATGGTGCTAACATGAAAAAGCGTAGTGTGCAAAAGTCTTCCTTTTTTAAGTATGCTTCTAAAAGTGGTCATGTATTTCAGCATACTGATTGATATTCAATCTAATTACCATGGGATATCTTTTGCCCATTAACTGTAGAGGAATGGGCAGTGAACTTATATGTACACCCTGTCCAGAGCTGGATGTCATGTCTTTGAGCTTTTGTTCTGGAATGTTTCTGGTCTATCCATGGCTGACACTGGATCTGGCTTTCCATCACTAGATTATAGCTCTGTTCCACAAGGCGCATGTGTTGATTAGCCACAAATTAATCAATGTGAATTAAAATGAGGGATTAATGTGTCAGCTGCAAACCGCTTTTATTTCAGAAGGTCAAGTTCTGAGAAGTTAGAGAAACTAGTTTGTTTAGTCCACTAAGCTAAAGGCCTACAGGTCTACAGATTTGGAGGGGAAAAAAATATGTTGGATTGCATTAAATGAAGGGTACAACATCTGCTCAGAACCTGCATTTTAAGCAGGAGGAAAAGTTTTCCAAGGAGACTGCGGACCTTGCTGCAAGACTAAGCATCCTGAAAAAGATACCACAGGTTACCAGAAAACCTTTAAGAACCGAAGTGAAAGAGGAGACTTATGGGCTGAAACTGCAGGAGTAACATGTATTTCTAAATGCCAGATTGTGAAGAAATTTAACATGAACAGAGATTTTTTTTTTTAAAGGTGGGGGGAAGAGAAGTTGGGTTTGATACTGTGAGGACCAGTTTGTAGTTAAGGATGTGACTTTAACAACTCCAAAATTAGGCATTTATGGTCAGTTTCTATAGAAATGAGGATTTGAATATGGGAGAAAGACAGCATGACAAATAAATAAAAATAAATGCTGTCAAGCAAAGGAAAGCAAAGAGTCTTTGCTGTAGGACTCTGAAAGGGTTGGCACAGAATGTTGGAGCCAGGTAAAAAAAAGAGTTTGTTGTCTGTCAAATTGGATGTAGTGATTGTGATAGCAGTAAAGCAAAATAATTACACTTGTGTTCATTTTCTAAGGAAAGAAGAATGAGATCTATTCACACTTCTTGCTCTGGTCTTAATAATATTCAGGGATTTAGAACAAATTTAGAATGGAAAAAGTAATTAAATACACAAAGATAAGTGGAAAACAGGATAAGATGCATCATGGATTTGCTACAATTAGGTCATGGGAGACTAAAGATGTATTATTACTGGATGAATACTGAATGTTGTAGACAAAAAGAGCAGAAGACTTCAGTGGTGCTACAGTGAAAATAGCTAGATTGAAAATATGAGGACTGGTTAAAAAAATGGTTAAGCTTAAGGAGACACAAAAAAAGAAATTGTGACTCTGGCTGCATGAATGGAGTTGCTGGTTTGAGGTAGGTATTGCTGGGGAGCTGGTCGTCTTCACATCAGCTAAGATTAATCTGTGCAAAGGGTGATTGCTGATGAGGTGAAGTCAGGGAGCACAGTCAGCATTGAGGAAGGTTGGATTGTTGCACAGGAAGTCTTGAATGTCCACGATGACTGAAGTGGTAGGAATGAGAGAAGTTAAATAGCTCTGAAAGTGAGATTATCTGCTGAGTGATTATTAGCAGCGCATCTGCTATCAGCTGGGAGGTCATCCTTTAATAATATTATACAAGGCGTTGGGAGATTTCATGTCAAATGTTGTGCACAGTTCTGGTTACTTGTGTACAGAGAATATAAAATTCCAGTAGAATGTCTAGAGGATCATCCAGGCTATAAGGATGGTGGGTGCAAACAGTCTGGATTTAGATGGAGACTAAAACTGAAGCTGTGTTGGCTTTTATCTCTTAGTTAGGGCAGACAGGAAGGTAGCAGCTGCTAAGAAATTCCCTGGGGCAGATTCTTAGAGAAGAGGAAAGGTCATAAACTGAAGTTCATCTGTAATTGTTGATTAAAAGCTTGTTGTACAGGAGGATGACTGGATGTCTTGTTGAATGAATGTTAGAAAATATGTATGTTGAAAATTGAAATGAGTATCCAGAATCTGATAGCTGGGAAAATCTCCCACCTGTTGGTCTATTAAATCAGTTTATGTTTGAAGTTTGTGTGTGACTGCTGAGGAACCTACTTGGGTAACTCAAGATACCTTAAGTTTGTTGCTTCAATCCTTGATGTAAATCAACAGAAATAGAAAATGCTTCCATGAAGGAAGCATCATGAACAGCTAATTTTTTTTTTTTTTAATTTTTTGAGGATGACTGTAGTCCAGTCACATGATGGTGAATGGAATTTTTAGCAAGTAAAATTCCTGTCAATGCCATTAGTAGCTGCTGCTTTTTTTTTGTTTTGTTTTAGTGTATAATGGAATCAAGTATAAATCATAAAATATTAAAGATGACCACAAATTAGTATGCATGGGATAGAAAACAGAAGAGCAGGCTGGAGGTCAGGAGAGGTGATGAACACATAAGTAAGGACCACGTTGTCCTGTTGAGTGGGTGCTTACATCCATCCTCTGCTGAGCCACATCGGGCCTCCTTGGGCTCTGTCACTGAGGACACTCTGAAGCATGAGGCATGGCAGCTCACACACTTTGTTCAGGGTTTCCCTTCAGCTGAAGGCTTGTCTGGTAAGAACAGAAGGCGTGTGCCTCATGGAAAGCTTAATGATGGCGTATGTGATTTGGTGGCCCCACTGTGTTGACTTTGATCTCCTCTATAGCATTGGGGCCTGCCCATTTGTATGCTCTTCTCTGGCTGGGCTTTGTAGACACAATCTGGCTTCTGGAAGCTTCAAGAGGACTCTTTATAAAGCAGGAAGAATGTATGTCATTGGTCAGGATGCATCTTTAGAAGAATCATTTAAAAAAAGCAAGATGCTTTGAGAATGTTTGTACAT